TGGAATGTAACGTCTGACGGTGTAGTCAGGGCCCACGTAACACGCCTTACTAAGCATGGGCTCTGATTCCCAGTAATACATTCAGTCAAAATTTGGTGCTATCTTTGAGTAAATAAGGCAGGACGCGTCTTTACGTTCTACATTTGTGAGGTCCCCGGACGTGACCATTTTGGTATCCTGGTGTTACCTCATCTCACATGGATGACTTATACAAACATGAAGTTAAACATAATAAGGCATTCCAAAGTTATGATAAAGCATTCCAAAGAAACAAAAGAAACTTCGAGTGTTCTCCTCAAGAACTGCATGCAGACATGTAAGCTTTCAATAGTGATGTCATCTTTATAACATTGCAATCATATTCTTGCCAGAATGTGCCAAATTGGTCATTTGGCAGCGATGAATATTTGTGTACCCAGCCGGAGAGGCTACGAAATTAGTTCAGAATGTGGGAAAAAGAGGATTGTTTTTTAGCCCCGTTGATCACTGATAGCCCTGCTCATGAATTACTTGGGCATTAGGAGCAAAGTCGTAGGCCGAGTCAGCCTTAACGTCAATGAACCGGACATTCTGTAGCGTCACTGGCCTGGCCAGCCCGGCCGATCATGCTTTTGATGGGCTTATATTTTTGCAGCCACTGGTCGAGCCGCCGTAAAGTTTGCGGCGGATTGCAGGACTAACAGCGGGCTGGCGGGTTTACAGCGGGCTGGTGGGTTTACAGCGGGCTGGAGGGTTGACAGCGGGCTGGCGGGTTGGCAACGGGCTGGCGGGTTTACAGCGGGCTGGCGGGTTGACAGCGGGCTGGTGGGTTTACAGCGGGCTGGAGGGTTGACAGCGGGCTGGAGGGTTGACAGCGGGCTGGCGGGTTTACAGCGGGCTGGCGGGTTTACAGCGGGCTGGCGGGTTTACAGCGGGCTGGCGGGTTTACAGCGGGCTGGTGGGTTTACAGCGGGCTGGAGGGTTGACAGCGGGTTGGCGGGTGGCAACGGGCTGGCGGGTTTTTACAGCGGGCTGGCGGGTGACAGCGGGCTGGTGGGTTTACAGCGGGCTGGAGGGTTGACAGCGGGCTGGAGGATTGACAGCGGGCTGGCGGGTTTACAGCGGGCTGGCGGGTTGACAGCGGGCTGGCGGGTTTACAGCGGGCTGGCGGGTTTACAGTGGGCTGGTGGGTTTACAGCGGGCTGGCGGGTTGACAGCGGGCTGGCGGGTTTACAGCGGGCTGGCGGGTTTACAGCGGGCTGGCGGGTTTACAGCGGGCTGGCGGGTTTACAGCGGGCTGGCGGGTTTACAGCGGGCTGGCGGGTTTACAGCGGGCTGGCGGGTTTACAGCGGGCTGGCGGGTTTACAGCGGGCTGGCGGGTTTTACAGCGGGCTGGCGGGTTTACAGTGGGCTGGCGGGTTGACAGCGGGCTGGCGGGTTTACAGCGGGCTGGCGGGCTGACAGCGGGCTGGTAGACTGACACTTCAGGCACGCCTTGTGCTTCCAACCAACTGCATATCCCTCATTCACCTGGGTCTGTGTGCTGCTACCGGAAACAAAGATGGGTCATGAAATGCAAAATGCAAATGCTGTCACCATATAGATAGCAAAGGGCATACACATAAGGCACTGATTGCCCCCAACTTCAAAACTGCGCGTATACCCCGTCCTTTACTTGAGCCCACTCTCCATGTGGTTTAAGGTATTTCGGGTATACAGGTGTCAGCGTGACTCGCGCAGTTTCAGATGGTACGGGTGGCGATACCGGCAATGGGGGGGGGGGGGGGCGCCTGATAAGTTTGGAAATAAACATTGCTAGCGCGTGTTGCGTGAAAAGACTGAAGCATGGAGTTAAGAAATTTGCTATCACTTGTTCCCTCCCCAATGTTTAGCCTAGGTGCCACCACTGGTATTGCCACCTTTGGGTGCTGAAAAGGGGCTACAGAAACATAAAAGCCGTGAAGGCTTTCAAAGGAAAATGACGATATTAAGGAAAATTGACTTAAAGATGGCATACGCGGGGAGCACGAAACCGCTCTGTGGTTATTAGTCGTTCTGTCTCGTCACCGCTTCCGACAAAGCGCCGAAATCGAGTGCAGTTCGCAATTGTTTGCCTGAACGGCGCCAGCTGATGGTCAAATTTTGTCTCATGATGACTGACGGGCGTCCGAACGATTGTCGGTAAATTTTAACCACACCTGAAAATTATCAGTGTTGACGGAATTAGTGTGAAGTTGTGATAGCAGACTGTTAAAATTTCGGGCTGCGGGCTGCCCTCGCTGGTTTGACGTCGTACCAACTGATGGTGAGGCTGACTGAAAAAAAACAACCTAAATAAAGCAAAGAGGCCCGCTCAACAGCCATCAAATCAATTCTCCGTCTGTCTCACATCCAACCGATTTCTACAGGTAGCTGCGATCTTAGAATGTCAAAGGCTGCAGTCTGCGGGGAGACGTCTCATTCAGCGTCGCTGGATGCCATTACATGCAATAATTGAGCATGTCGCGCATGTCGTGTCTCTCCCGGACCGGCCAGAAAGCAGGTCATGTCTCTCCCGGATCGACCGAGAAACAGGTCATGTCACTCCCGGGTCGACTGGGGAGCAAATCGCGTTTCTCTCGGACCGACCGGGAAGCAGGTC